GCCATATCAGATCCTCGCTCCGAGCAATCAGTGTTAGTAGCCCGTTCCCTAAGGACGGTTTGGAGGTGGGACACCATCAGTGGCAGTAGGGACGTTAAGGACAGCGCTTGGTTGAACTTGGCGAGGCCAAGGACGAATAGCTCTGGCCAGCATTTCTTTAGGAGAATCACTTGGATTTCAAACCTATAACAAAACAAAGCATAGAAATGATCTGATATCACCGTGAAAGAATCAGCATCTGTTCAAAAATTTAATTGAACTGCCTCTGTGACCGAACACTTACCATGCTGGTCTGCCACGCAGAGGTCCCGGGTTCGATCGGACCGGGAGAAATGTTTGTAGGGCCTACATTTATTTGTCTCGCGACTTTGGGTGTCCTTTGTGGTTGTCCATGTGTGCCCATGGAACTCGTGATTTATTATACAGGGAATCGAATACGTCTCATCTAGCGTTCACAGGGCTAACCGGTCACATGAGTCCTTTTTATTTTTCAAATTTTACAAAAAGTATATTTATTAATCAAAACATGGCAGCACAACATATCATAAACTTGAGTACATTTATTATCCGTGCACCGCAAAAGGTTTTCAAACGAAAGCAGTATTTTTCTCATCTCAAACACACTCGTTTTTGCCGGATATTATAGGATTGGCCTTTTTATAAATACATCCTCATCCTTCTAGTTCAGACATGTATGCCAAGGCCGATCTTTAGCTCACGTTTCCGTCCACATTCGCTGTACATAAATTTGTGTCGTCATTCTATTAACGTCAAATTGTCGAAGTTTTCATTTTTCTGTCCTTTTATAACACACTTTTTTTATATAAAAATGTGAGTGCGCATTGGACCTCCATCGCAACAGATAAAAAATGACGATGAGGTCGACGATGGAGCATACACAGGCTGTATATTTGAAAGTGAGACATATTCCTACATGTCATAGTAAATCATGTTACAACTTAACATAGACATATACATTGAGGGTAGTTGTAACAGAAAGTTGAAATTTAAAAGCAGTCTTAATTTTTAATTTATTTTATTGGAATAAATCATAATTTAATTATATTTATGATCAATAATAGAAACTAACACTACAACCCACCCGCTCAAGTGTTATCTCCTTCCTATTCCTGCAAGAACACTGAAATGGAGCAAGTCGAGAAATCACTGTCACAAATGATGGAAATGTTTCAAACTAGGATGGCCAACTTTGAGGCAGAGCTGCAGAAATCTCCATCCACATCATCCGCTACTACAGCTACAGGTTTGGCTGCTGACTTCTCTTCTTTTAAAGTTTTTGTCACCCATTCGCTCAATGCTCTGCAGACACAAATTCGCACTCTTTCAAGAACTGTTGACAATCTTGAGATGCTGGGGCGCCGGAAGATGTTAATGATCCATGGTCTTCCGGAGCAGGAGAATGAGGACACAGCTCAGGTTGTGGTTGAGATGGCCACAAACAGTCTGAAACTAGGAGACTTTTCTCTTGGTGGTATAAAGAGGTGCCATAGGATGGGGCGGCCCGCTACTGCATCGAGGAAACCCCGGCCAATCATAGTAAAATTCCAGGAGGTCACTCTTCGTGACCAAGTTTGGTTCAGGAAATCAAAATTGAAGAATTCTGGTGTCACTATATCTGAGTTTTTGACTCATTCACGTCACTGCACTTTTATGTCGGCACGACAGAAGTACGGTGTTAATAAATGCTGGACAGCGGCGGGCAACATATATGTCCTCGGCTCTGACAACTCTCGTCGACGTATCGATGACATAACCGAGGTAAATGAGTTGGAAAAGCCGGTCGCTGCAGCAAAATCGCCGAAGAAGGTTTCCTCGAAACCCAGGCGGGCCGCCGTCGTCAAGAAGTAGTGAGTTTGGAAATTAATGAGTTTGGAGTTCGTGCTGAGACGTAACGGGATTCGTATCATAATTTATAAATTTCCGCTTGCTGACCCTCTAAAGAACGTTGTATATTGTGTTTATTTTGTAATTTATTTTTGGAATACCTGTTTTTTGGTTCTTAACTTAATGTCTAAAAATTTAATTGTAAATGTTATCTGTCAATGTCAGTCACTTACCATTCTTTTTATAAGGGTAAGGCAACGGACCACGCTATACAGCCTATTCTCGTTACACTGATCTCATGTTTACTTTTTTTTTTTAAATGTGTTTTTGTTTATTTTGGTTTGTAATTCTTGTGTTGTGTTCCCGTTGTGGCAATTAATATTTTTGTTATGCCACTACGAATTAGTGTTCCTATTTTGTTTGTTTTTTTTTTTTGTTTTGTTGTCTGGAATTCATGCTATTTCTTGTATTCTATGTTTTCTTTTATTTTTTACATTTTGAACACTTTTTAGCGGGTGGGCAGTTTTGTGGTTGTGCAACAAATAATAGAACTACTTTTATTATTAATATTAACATATTTTATATTATTATTATTATTATTATATATATATATATTTTTTTTTTTAAATATATATATATATATTATCATATTTCATTTATTTTCATATTGTATAGATATTACATAATATTTATATAGTATTCAATTTTATTTAACTTCATTGACACTATTCTTTATGTTGTCTTTGGGTGAGCTTAGCGATACGGACAGCTTCGTATCGATAAGCAGTAGTGATAATGATAGCTTTTCTAGTATTCCTTCTCTAGCTGATTCACTCAGTTCATGTTTTTCCGATGTTCCCAATAATTTCAACGTCGTACATATTAACGCACAAAGCATTCCGGCTCATTTCCCAGACATGCTTGCAAACTTTGACTGTAAGAATATCCATGCTATACTTGTTTCCGAATCTTGGCTCAAGCCATGTCTCCCTTCTACCTCTTATTCTTTGCCAGGCTTTCACCTTATTAGGAATGATCGCGCGGTCGGTGGTGGGGGTGGTGTTGCTATATATCTTCGTTCACACATACCGTTCTCGGTAGTTGATATTTCGCCACAGCCCACGACGACTAGCGCGACTGAGCACCTTTTTATTGAGGTGACCCTTCACCGCTTGAAAATCCTCCTAGGAGTCTACTATTCACCATCTTCACGCATTAACTTCTTTTCTTCTTTTGAAAGCAAATTAGAACACCTTATTCCTTCTTACAGTCATGCAATAATTATGGGTGATTTCAACACCTGTCTTCTTAAAAATGATTTCCGATCCTCATCTTTTCGTACTGTTGTACAGTCGAACAATTTGTTCATTCCTTTATTAAATGCTACCCATAATTTTCCAAATTGTACTCCGTCTCTTCTAGACCTTATCATTGTCTCTTCTCCAGAATTTATTGCTCGGCATGGACAATTTCCTGCTGATGTTTTCTCATACCACGATTTAATTTTTCTTTCATATAAAATTCGTCCTCCCAAAGTGAAGCCGAAAGTTCTAATGCTGCGCAATTTTGCTGGTATAAATATGGATAAACTCCGCGAGGATGCCGCCGACATTGATTGGTCGCAACTTCTGAGCTTTAAATCAGTTGATGAGAAACTGGAAAACTTTGTTTCTAGTCTTATACGTTTGTACGATGTGCATGCGCCAGTACGTGCGGTAAAAATGAAGCACCACCCCTCTCCGTGGCTCACTGAGGATATAAAGCGCATCTCTGAACAAAAAGCTGCAGCCAAAAGCAAATATAAGTTCAGGCCTACCACTGTAAACTGGGAAAAATTTGTAAAAATTCGCAATTACTGTAATAAGGTGTGTAGGAATGCACAACGCCAACACGTTCATAAGTCTGTTGAGAATGGTGAACCGGCTAAAGTTTGGAAGTTTCTCAGATCGATGGGGGTTGGAAAACAACGTCAATCATCACCATCTAATAATATCGACATTAATCTCTTAAATAAACACTTTTCTTCGACACATTATTTTGATCCTGCTTTGAAATTTAATACTTTGAATCTTCTTTCATCACTTCCAACCCTCGATCACTCACCTTTTTATTTCTGTCAATTGTCCGATTGTGATGTTAGGAAGTGCATTATGTCAATAACCTCCGATGCTGTAGGAAGTGACAGTGTTAGCCGCAAAATGATCCTTCCCATCCTTGATGAGATCATCCCTGTCATTACGCATATTTTCAACCACTCCATTACAACTGGTATCTTTCCAACGTCATGGAAAGAGGCTCAAATTACTCCTTTGCCCAAGAAAGTTAACCCAGTGTCCTTCTCCGAATTTCGACCAATATCTATATTGCCTTTCATGTCTAAAGTCTTTGAGCGCCTTGTCCACAAGCAACTATCCACTTTTCTATGCAAGAATAAGCTCATTAACTCGTATCAATCTGGGTTCCGTCCAGGCCACAGTACCACTACAGCATTGGTTAACATTACAGATGACGTTAGGTCGGGTATAGAGCATGGAAAGCTTACGGTTCTTTCTCTGCTCGATTTTAGTAACGCTTTTAATACCGTGGACTTTGATATTCTGCTTGGCATATTACGCTCTCTTAACGTATCTCCAACGGCAATTGACTGGTTTCACAGTTACCTGAGTGGTCGCCGGCAGCGTGTTCGCATCGAGGATTCCTTTTCTTCTTGGTGTGATATCACTGCCGGGGTCCCTCAGGGTGGCGTGCTATCTCCATTGCTTTTTTCAGTGTTTATTAACTGTATTTCCGTAAAAATAGTTTCGTCCTATCACCTTTACGCAGATGATTTGCAAATTTATTGTCAAGCCTCTCCAGATCATCTTAATAATGCCATTAATGTTATCAACGCTGATTTGGAACATATCAATGACTGGAGCAGGTCTTATGGGTTAAGGGTGAATCCTTCAAAGACACAGGTCATTGTACTTGGTAGCTCAAGTATGACTTCAAAAAATACAGTGGTCACATGTCCCACCAATTACGTTTAATGGTGTGAACTTGCCTGTCAGTGATTGCGTTAAGAATTTAGGAGTGCTCATTGATAGAAATCTCAGCTGGGGTCCTCAAATACAAGAAGTAAGTCGCAAAATGTTTGCGTCGGCTGCATCCTTAAGGAGACTTCGAAATTTCCTGCCTATTGCCACTAAAACTTCACTAGCACAATCCCTTCTTTTACCTCTATTAGACTATGCCGATGTCAGCTACCTCAATCTCACTGAAGAGCAACTGAATAAACTTGAGCGACTCCAAAATTTTAGCATTAGATTCATATTTGGCTTACGTAAATATGATCACGTGTCTGATTTTCGTACTAAACTCAAGTGGTTGCCAATTCGCCTTCGCCGGAATGCTCATACTGTTTCTCTTCTTTACAATATCCTATTTAACCCCACTTCTCCTGCTTATCTTAAAGAGCGTTTTACCTTCCTTCACGAAACTCACTTGCGTGTATTGCGATCATCGGAAAACCTAAAGCTGCAGATACCTATCCATTCTTCGAAAGTTCTAGATAAATCTTTCTCGGTCCAAGCAGCTCGCTTATGGAATGACCTACCGGAAACTATAAGACGTGCCCAATCGCTTGATAAATTTAAACAATTGGTAAAGGAATATTATTTATCACTTAGTTGAAGTATTTATCATCCAAATTCTAAAATATATATAAGTAGTATATTATCATAAGTATATTCTATGTATTGTATATGTATCGATATATATTTAGTATAGTAGTTATGTGTATGTATGTTATTTATGTAGTAAGTTTTTATTAAGATTATTAAGTTCAATTTATGTATCGTTGCTGCTTTGTGCACCATTAGCTGCCCTTCACCTGTATTTAATTAAATTCTATAATAATCTGTAAGGTTGCCTGGTAGAGATCGCTGTTTAGCGATAAGGCCGCCGATTGTACATTTCCATTAACTTATATATTGTAATGTTTCCATTTGTTTTGTGTGCAATAAAGCTTATTCTATTCTATTCTATTCTATTCTAGACTAAAATAAAATTAGGATATGGGATAGAACAAAAAATAAATTAACAAATGTGTTTTGAAGTGTACATAGGAATAAACCGTTTCCCTTTACGCTTGATTTCGAGTGCGATGGGAATACTACCAAGCGAGTGCCGAGTGAGACAGCAACCATAACAATGATTTCACATTTACGTTTTAGCTTATGTCAATTATTTTTTACTTGAACTATCATCGAAATGTTTTTCAGTTATCATTAAATAAGAATTGAGGTTTTTGGCGTAGTGAAAATTTTAAACCAAATTATTGACAATGATTGATTTTTTAGTTATTTACAGTTTATTTGAGCAAGTGTTCAAAATGTCCACCGTTTTCCACAATACATAGTCTAGCACGGCATAGTAAATTTTGTTTTAAATTGTACAACACAAACACATTTTGTCTCACAGTATAAATTGCTGAGATAATCCTCTTATGCAACACTTCGACACTTCATCTCCTCCGCGTAAACTCCGATTTGGGAACATTTCAATAGCTTGCCTCACACTATCACCACTTATTGCGTAACCACTTATTGTCGCACCATCTCAGTCAATTCGACGTTAGAATAAATATCCATTTTGCGGCGATCGGGCGAGAGGAAGTACAAATAATTTACGTGTCTTCGTTAGATCAAGGTCGCGCGTGCACTGAGCAATTTCGCGTATGCGCCCGCGCCCCCACCCCCGACCTGTGCTTTGTTTGTCGCCGCAATATTAGTGACGTGCATAGATTTCGATAACTAATGTTGTTCTCAAGAAGTAGTCGATAAAAAAAAATTAAAAAAATATTTTTTGTAAAGTTCAAGTTCCTTAGTTAATTATTTCTTTGGGTTCAGAATTAGGAATAAAACGCACTCTATAAGTATGTCCCACTTTCAAATATAGCCTGTATACATACATATTTATTGATCATACGTTTTCCAAGATTTTTTTTTTTTTTTTTTTATACCTGACAGGCAAATGACTCCACTCCACCTGATGTTAAGATAATGGTAAATTGCACCATGAGATTACACCCTTACGTCTGTCTGTTGAATTTGCACTTAAATGTATAAGTTTCTTAGACAATTACCATAAATTTATTACTCCATTTTTAGGGGCCTCAAAGAATTCTAAAAAATGAATTCAGTAATTGGCACGTGCCAATTACTGGTCTTAAAATGGTTCGATTGGTGTTAGTAAGCACAGCTGCTGTATAATACTCACGGCAGGGCAGCGGCGGCCGGCACGGCCAAGAGCCACTTGGCGGCGGCGGCCAACAGGCGCGCGCCCGCCTCGCACACGGCGTGCAGGCGCAGGTGCGGCGGCGCGGGCGGCGGCAGCGTCAGGCTCAGCTGGAGGGACTCCGGCGTGCTGAGGATGCTGGTGTCGGCCTCCACTGCGATTCGATGTCATTCATGGGTATTCAACGCGTCTATTTAAATTGGACACACGAAACTATGTGTCACCGTTTCGCTAGCCAGTAGCTATTCATCCCGAGAACATGACGCATACTACTGTATAGAAATAACGGGTAAACTCAACGAAATTGGTACCCCGCAACTAGCGATAGGCGAGCCGAGTTATTTAACTCGAGTTACTCCCACTATCAACTCAACTCAAGCTATCTGGAGTCGGATACTTCATTCATACAGCGCGTCGGCATTCGTTCTCAATCGGTCGGTTAGGCGACCTTCGGAGCACATTCGATGAATCGTCGGTTCGAGTTGTACTGGCGGTTACTGTCATACACCGAGTCGAGTTAACTCGAGTGAGCGCTTACGTCAACTTGAGTAACTCGAGTTGAAAAAAATACAACTCGTCGCTACCGGCAATGTCTTTCAGCAGCAGTTTAAACAGTTGTTCGATAATGAGTTATAGAATAAGTAAGTATAACGTATTGCGTAATTTGTTGTTGTAATAATGACCACCTCTATTTATACAAATACATACTGAGCAACCAGAGAAACATTTTAGGTGATTGGTGGAGAACTGGAAGGCGCAGGTACACAGAATGTATAATATGCCAACAATTGGAATATATATGATTAATAATTGAATTTCATACAATTCCATTGCAAAACAATCCATGTTCGCTTAAAATTTTGTTCTATACACGAGTTTGTACGAATTCGACAAAATTGTATGTTACAACCATTGACTTACAAATAAATGAACGACGGGTTTAATACAAAAACCACGAAAAAAATGTCCCAAGTCAATCTATTTAAACGTAGTGACATGTAAAGGAATATGAAAAAGCTAAAACGTTGAATTTAAATTCTAATGTCATCGCAGTACTGTCTAATTTTGCTTGCTTCGCTGTCAGTCGAACAAACGAAGACTAAAGCGTGAATGACGCTCTGTATACGATTTTAACGCCCTATAAGTTCGGACACTTTTTAGCGCGGACCCGACGTCCATGTAATTGTAAGTCAATGGTTACAACTGATTTTTCAGTGGTTTCGAGATGTGCTAATAATGAAATATGGTCTAACAAAACTTTAACTATATTCCATTATTTACTACAATTTAAATGTAGTTAAACAAACAAAGCTGTTCTAAAGGTTGATGCCATTCGACTAAAAAGTAAGTAACAGTCGATTTTATCTGTGATTTCAAGGGTGCCAGTTACTGAAAGTTGTAAATTTTCGTAAACAAAGTCACCTTTTAAAACTTGTCTAATTACTCAAGAAATACCATGTATATTAATTTACCATCGTTCTGAGCTGTGTCCGCGACTTGTGCAGCGTGCAGCGCCGACAACGGCACTTCGGGTGGTGTCGCCCCATACGCCGACTGCAGGTACTCGTTTATTGCACCTGTAATGTCGACAACGTTGTACACTAGTGTGCCAAACAATGACACCGATTACCTGGTCTCAAATAAGTAAATTTAAGAGTACGTGGAACCATTAATGTCGTAGATTTGTTGAATGTATAGTGTTTTGGATATATCGTCGTCTTCAGTGAATCGACGATAAAAATGTGGTGTAAAATGTAGTAAACGCAATAATGTTTGTAGTTAGCATTTTAATTAGTTAAATTACACCTCTTTCAGATACTATATTACTATATTTGAGCAAGTCAGTAAAAACGAAAGTTTTCACTATAAGGTGACGATATAGTGATTGTTATTTTGCATTTAAGAGCCTAGATCAATTTTGGTTTGGAAAATTGATAATAATTGGACATAGTTATGCAAACTAGAACCAACCCACAAAATGTCACTTTCGAGATAATTAGATTTTTGTAAAAACAGTGTGAAGAAATAAACAGGTAAGTTATTTGAGACAAACAAAAGTGAGTTATGTGTATCATTGAGAATGATATACGGAAACTATTATATTATATAGCAATAAATAGAAAACGTTATGTATCTTTTTATTTCGTTTACGAGAACCATGTTCTACTTTTCGTACTGAATACGCTAAAGATCTATATTACTTCAGGACATGTGACATGGATCCATTTAGCATATTTAAAAAATACATTAAATGAGGTTCTTTTTAGCTATTAAAAAGTTACTTATTTTGGGTTGGTACCCTGAAGGGCTTTAATTTTCTCCGTTTTGGCTTGGTATATTGCCAGGATCTTTTGTGAGCAGGTAAAGGACACGTCTGGTTCTACCTAAATACATAACTCAATTTCACTCGACGTTTGGGTTGGTTCTTGTTTGCATAACTATGTCCAATTATTAATAGAAAGATCGAACACTAAGGGTCGTATTCTAGAACTCTACTCAATATTCAAGTCAGGATTTGAGTATTGCTGTGAGCACTGAAAATCATACTCAAGTCCTTGCCATTAGGGTAGTATTTTCAGTGCTTGAAATCATACTCAAGTCTGCTCAAATCCTGACGTGAGCGTTGAGTAGAGTTCTGGAATACGACCCTTAGAAAAAAATCCTTCGATCCGGCCGGATTCGAACCGACATCTTCTGGCATACCGTGCCAGACGCTATACGAACTAAGCCACGGAACGAACCAGCGGACCTCACGAATTATTCTATGTGCTTGCGTCGTGTCTTTGTATTTTGGTTTTTCAACGACTTTTTAGCCATTAACCGTATTAATAATTATAACTATACTCTAGCCAAATTCAATGTAGAATGTTTTATAACAAAACGTTGCTAGGCAACCAATGATGGCATAGGAAAATAACATTTTTTCAATTCTCATTATTAAGGCTTGATCTGCCCACGGCTTGCTCCCTCAATTGAAATTTAAATAGGTAAGTAGGTATGTAATTGGGTTATGTAGAAGTGATACTTATCTAGTCAATTATTATAAAGTTTACAAAATATCTATTGATACGTATAATTTAGGAATTTTTTTTGCATCTTACTTTATATTTACTGTTAGATGGTAGGTAATGGTAGATGAAAAGTATCAAAATTGTAAGATTTTATTTGATATTAATTTATTACATATTATACCATCCAGCATCTTTTTCCGATTCTGAACTTGAATTACCACCAGAGCTCGAATGTTTGCAATCTCTCCCTTCAAATCAAAAAATCACTAGGGATGACACAGTTTTACAAATAATTAATTGCTGGTCATTTTTAGGTGATTTGAAACTTCTCTTGAGTAATATTCATTATAAACACGACTTCAACATTTAATATTATCCATAATCTAGTTGAATTTCATAGGTTAATATTGAAATTGTGGTAACTGTGAAAGAGTTTGAGATGAAAACCCTAAAAATCATATGTTTTTGTTTGTTGACATTTATTCTACATCGAATTTGGCTAGAGTATAGTGGAGTAATTTCACATAAAAATAAAAAATATATTTTTTATAATATATATTATAAAAAATTAAATATCAATTCAATAAAAAATTGAAATTGATAATAATAAAAAGATAAATGAAGACTAAATTATCATCATAATCAACCCATTTATACGTCCCACAGCCGGGCACGAGTTACCTCGCAGGCGAGGGTTTAGGTCATAGTCCACCACGCTGGCCCAATGTGGGTTGGGGACTACGCGTTTTCCGAACGTTGTAAACTTTCATCACTATGTTCAAGGTAACTTAAATGTAGCACATAAATTCCGAGAAGCTTAGAGGCCCCAATTTGCACCCACGACTTCTGCTTGACAGGCGATAGGTCATTTAGGCTACCACGGTTACAAAGACTAAATACGAGAAATCTTACCAAATTGCCCCATCTTTAATAGGTTCTTAGCAAGCTGCGAATGCAGCATGAGCTGTTGTCTCCTCGCACCTTCCAACTCTCCTCCCACTCCGCCCACCCCTCCCACCCCACCTACGGCGCCGCCTAGGTAGGGAGACACTGAAAAGCGATGGAAACTGATTAGCTAGGTATTTATTATTTCAAAATTAATCACCTATTACCAAATACCTTACTTATGTAGACAAAAAGGGAGGTTTTGAAACAAATCTTAACTGTAGTCAATAACATATCTCAGGGTAAGAAATGTGAATTTCCATTAATTTTACATTGTATAGAAAAATATACATTTTTTTTGTTTGTGATTCAGGATATATTTGTACCATACTGAACTAAACACGGTGAACTTTTTCAACAGACTTTTAAAAAAAGGAGGTTCTCAATTCGTCTAAAGTATGTTGCGCGATTATTCCGGTATTCTTTTTCTTTTATCGGTATTATCTTTTTTTGTTGGAAAGAGGGTACCTTAGTATTGGTCCCATTTAAATTTGAAGAAAACATTCCACTTGTTAGGGTGGCAAACTAGGGGATGAATCCGGTTTCGAGGACTTTCTGGTAACCGAAATTAATAAAATTTGGCAATTAGATGTAATTCCACGAAATTTTGAGGTCGGTTTTTATTCACAAAAAAGTTATAATTGGTACCAATAAACAGAATGTTACTTGGTGCCAATCATTGACTTACAAATATGTAAATGGACGACGGGTCTAATACAAAAACCACGAAAAAAATGTCCCAAGTCAACCTATTTAAACGTAGTGACATGTAAAGGAATATGAAAAAGCTAAAACGTTGAATTTAAATTGTAATGTCATCGCAGTACTGTCTAATTTTGCTTGCTTCGCTGTCAGTCGAACAAACGAAGACTAAAGCGTGAATGACGCTCTGTATACGATTTTAACGCCCTATAAGTTTGGACACTTTTTAGCGCGGACCCGACGTCCATATAATTGTAAGTCAATGGTGCCAATAAATAAAGTGTTGTTGTTACCCGGGTTGCCCTTGTTGAAGGCGACAGCGGCGGCGAGCGCGAAGTTAATCGCGGGCGCCGCCGGCGACACGGCACCGAACGCATCTGACGGTTCTTCTTTGGGATTTATCTGTCAAATAAAAAATATGTTTGAATAGACTGCATGATGAATATCTTTTATCGCTCTCCATGTAGCAGAAACCCACTTGATTTAATATGACCACAAGTTACAACAGGCAAGTGATGTCGCAGACCTTACAATCGATTGAGAAGTTCTGGAGTAAGTGACTACCGATTGGAAGGGCTGGTACAAGCAGTAAGTAATAATTTGAAGTACATTGCTTGGTGAGTCAATAGGTGACACCAAGAAATGTACTTTTTCTTTTTTAGCTAGTGTATACAGGTCATAAAATGCGTTCTTGAATGACTCAATGATCGTTGTAAACGACTTGACCAAACTGGTGTTATAAGAGAAGCCTCATACTGGACCTTCTGCCCTTTGTTTTCAACATCATTTCAGCTGAGAGATGTCCACAGCTGGACATAGACAATGCATCAATAAAGCCCGGCTTCTCCAGTCAGTCGGTCCACTTTTCATTGGCACTGATTTTAAGACTTCTTTTAAGAAGTATGGTTTGACAACCGAATTCATTTGAGCAAAGAATTAAACTTATTTGTTCAATATACGTTTTCCTATTTTCTTTTCTCCATGACAATAACTTACTATTATAATGTACAATAAATAATGTAAATAACCATGATTTTCCTGTCAATTTTGGAGGTTTAATTTTTTTAATTTATGTTATGGCTTTGGATTTAAGTCCTCAGCCGCAATATCAGAGATAATAAACCTAAACAGCAACAAAATAAGTAGTAGCAAAATAAAACTAATAAATTACTTAATTAAGTGGACTATCTTGCTAGGTGTAACAAACTTTGCGTAGGAAAATTTTAGGCAAATAAATATCATTCACTCATTCACTCACTGTTACTAGCTAGCTAGATAGCAAATAATATAAACAGAAATAGACGAAATAAGGGCCATATATTCCTGGTAACACATTAGTGATACAGTTCTTATAAATATCAACTCTTGTTTGCACTGAAATATAGACAGGCCAATCACTGACCTGTGTGTACGTCTCTGTATATTCCAAAAAATATTCTGTATTTATTGTAATAAAGATAATATCTCTGACAATGCCGTGCTGTTCTATACGGTGGTGTGGGAAAAACAATAAAACATCTAATTACAAAACAAAAGGAATCACATTTCATTGGTAATTAAATATGTAATTTTGCAATTTTCGTCCATTATAGCAAAGCTCAAGTTAACTGGCCAATTTAAAGTGAAACAGTTGACAGCGCAGTTGTCACAGTAATGACATGGCAGAATAGTTTTCAAACAAATTAAATGACATTTCGTCTCTATTTCTGGTTATATACTCGATGCAAAAAATACATACCTGGCCCTGTCCAGCTAATCCTAGCAGCTTGGAGTAAGCGGCTTGCCGTTCATGGCCGTCACGTTCATTTTTTCCTTTGTCGACAAGAGGCTTCCGCTCGTGCTGGACCGCTGTCGACAGTGTGCAAGAATTACTGCTCATCGTGTTTTATTTAAACCAACTTGTGTAAGTGTGTTCTATTGTAATATTCGCTTTTACATATCGAGTGACACATTGTAAATTAAAAAAAAAAGAAATGTATAAATTAAACTTGTCAATTTACATTCTCCAACTCCAACCAAATGGATCAGAAGTTAGCATCAATCCTGTAATGTAAAACACCTATAAGGACCTTGAAAGAACTTTTACAGGATGTTATTATACTGTTATTGACATTTTTGATGATGAGAGAGACCTGGTGGGATTTGAACCCACGTCCATGCTGCACCGTAGCTCTAACCATTTGCGCCACGGGTCCAGTTACGGCTGCAGTGAGAAGGTTATTCAATCTGTCACTAACACATAGGAGAATTTCGCAGACTCTGTAACTGGACCAGTGGCTTTGATGGGTAGCGCAATGCTTCGGTGCAGCATGGACGTGGGTTCAAGACACACCGGGTCGACGAAAATTTTTCCGTGTGTTCGATGTTTGTATTCATAATCATACTGTTAGTTTTCACATTTACCGATTATCCGGACTATTGTAAGGAATAAAATGTTTATTGATTGAAGATGGATCGTAAATGTTTTTTTCATCAACTGGACATAATTTTCATATTCGTTTTACAAAACTACTGTACGCAATTTTTAACCCTGACATTGGCAAAATCTTGTGGAATTCGATAAAGAAATTGGAATGGTTATATCTTGTAGTTCATTGTGAGAATCTCGGCGATTCTGGGGAGTTAAAAATAATATGTTATAGATACTCACAGTCGCTGCGCATGCCGCATGCCAAGCACTTCTGTAGCCGACAGTACTGGCAGCGGTTGCGATGATGTTTGGTCACTTCGCAGTTCATGCTGCCGCGGCACTGGTAGCCTAGCTTCTTGCGAATCGAGCGCTTGAAGAAGCCTTTGCAACCTAGGGAGAATAGATTTTAAATGTCATATACTTTTTCGAATAGTTGTAAATTTAAAAAAAAAATTAACAATTATGCTCTTTTAAGTTATAATAACTTTCGAGAGACTTGTACAGAAAGTTCGTATTTACATTGAATGTACAGTCAAGAGCACATTAAGCTCGCCACTTTGTACTTTGGACCGTTCTTATCGTAAGCAGCATAGAGTTGGATTTAAGTCTTAAGTGTAAAGCTTGACGTGCGCTAGACCCTGAAGCATTTTCCATTAATTTCATTATAAAATGAAGCATTTCTCACAAAAAAGTGAAAATGATCAAATTGTTAGTTTGGCCCTTACACTTAGGACAGATCGAAATGGCTAACCGATTACCATAGAGCGTGGAGTAAATCCGAAATATTGAAAAAATAATAAAAAGTTGTTTAGTGATGAATGTTCATAGGAACTTTGTATGGCAGTACGTGTAGACACAATAGAGGTACACATCAGTTGTGTCTATGAGCACTGCAGTAATGCTTAGTTTGGAGACATATGTTTTAACTATGCACACAGTTGTCAGTAGCTGAAATGAGTGAGAGTACAAAGTTTTTTGTCCTAAACTTCGTAAACTTAAAACTTTTGTAATTAGAGCTATAATAATAATAACAATAGACTCATTTATTTGTGTTGAATACAGCGATATATTCTATCATAGTCTGAATATTATTAACCATATCATACTAGTAATACCTTTTGTCACTGTTTCATGTGGTGACATGGACAAGAGATAGCATAGAAAGGTCAAACAAGTCAGTGCAGAATTGGAAAGGTGACATTATCAGGGCCGCTGGGAAACACTGGTTGGATATCACAAAGAAACACAGAGAAGGCCTTCTTCACTCTAAAGGGAAACTTGCAAATGTAATTCTTTTTAAACATTATTTATTTGATTTCACTGATAAATCTATATCACATAGTGATGAAATTGATAGTCTGCCTTTGTTTGAAGTTCAGTTGACTGTTTTTGACACTTATTCTCTGTTTTGTAGGTATAATAGTTGACGAGGTTGTTATTAAAGGTAATAATTAATAGAGAGAACAGAAGCAGTAGAGCTCCTGTGAAAGGGTTCGTCGCAGTAATGTGAGCATAATTGCGTTCCAGTTTTAGAGGTTAGGGGTGCTGGTATGTCTCAGGGTGACGGGCGGAGTGGCAGTGCCCCTCATATCTCTGCGATATAAAGAGAGAGATACTGCTATTCTTGCATAGCAGTATCTCGCGCTTTATGTCGCTCTCGCATAAGTCCGCCCTGTCGTGCTATTGAATGGCACTGCGTTGCTATTGACAGGCAAGGCGCTTACCATAATTTAAAAAAGAACTTCAGGTAGCATGTTCCAGCAGCAGACCACTCTGTTGCTGAAGAAGCTACTTGCAGCAATGTTTTGGCAATAGTTTGTGATGGTTACAAGTTTTCTTCTTTTTTTGAGAATATCTTGTTATTAGAAAGGCTATATATATTATTATAATGGGGCATTATAATCAACACAATCACAACAGCTAATTTTGTTATCTACTTACCCTCACAGCTTATAGCCCCATAGTGTCTTCCTGAGGCCCGGTCTCCACAAACAATGCACAGTTCCATCCCCCCCACCTCACTCCCTCCACTGTACTTCATCTCCATCTGATCTTGTCCATCCATTGTTTAATCTGTAATCAAATACAAATACATGACTTTTTTCTACCAAGTGAGGGGACGAATAAGTTGTGTGTATAAGTGACACGCTTGTCCCTAACAGTTGCAGTGCCACTCAGAGCTTTAATCGCAAAGATTTGAGGGGCACTGCCACTGCGCCCGACACCCTGAGACAAGTTGATAAGGCCCATGTGCCTGTAATTTCACCAGCACTCTTACCCTTCAGAACCGGAATATAGTAACAGGCAGTAGTTCCTTGGACAAACTCTTTAACAAGAAGCTCGACTGCTACTAAAACTCGCAATGAATGCACCACAAACAAACCCACTGAGGAACATTATCAACTATAGTAGAGCAGATAAGAACATCACTGACTAAAAGTTTCTAGTTGTGGTAATAAAAGACTGGGAATAATCAAATTGTGGTCAAATGGTTATAGAAATGTGAGATGCTTTGCAATAAGATGAGTAGACAACATTGTCAATGTCAACATCAACCCATTTACAAATTAAATGAGATTTATTTGAATAGGTTATTACAGGATGGTCGTTATTACATTTGAGTTCATCTATTCAGCCATTATACCAAAGCCCATAGTCCTTCAACCTGGGCCAATGTAATTTGAGAATGTCACACATTTCTTCAAAGATTATGAATCTTATATAAAACTCATTGTTTTCAAATTACATTTCACACATAAATTCTGAAAACTCAGAGGTGTGAGGCTGGATTCATACCCATGGCCTCTGCTTGAGAGGCAGTAGGTAAAACTACCTATACATTCTTCTATGCCTGACTTATGGGTGTGAAACATGGTCACTAAATAGAATTATAGATAGACAAGAAAATAATTGATGTGCTTCTGTGGCATCTGTTGCATGGGCCGGAAAAATGGAGCGAAGTAGTCACCTATTGGTACCTATGTGATGGAAAATATATTAGAGGGTGTCAAACGCAAAATAGGCGCCTTAACATCGAGTTGCAGACACCAGCCGTTTACACCAAGAAGAGGGTGTCAACATCAAAGGTGGGAGGACGAGCTGAAGTTAACTGCAGGCTTATGTTGGTGCCTATGCCAAGAGGCACGCTGAGTATATCTCTTAGATATAATGTAAAAATTTAAAATGCAATATAAAATTGTAATGCAAAAAGTACTTGTAATTCAGCTTAAAAGGCCTAATAAATAAAATGGCACAAGCGTTGGGAGGCATATCCCCAGCAATGGGCGATGATGATTTTCTATAATGATCTAATGAATTACTATTAGATAATTAGTCTTTTTAATCTACTAAGGTAAATAATGAGTGACCATACTCTACTCTGTCCATCCACTTTGAGATGAGAACATCAGGGAGGTGTAGAAAGGCAGGATGTGATACGATTTCAGAAACTAGTGGTTACAGCTTATATGCAACAATGCTATCATATTTCAATACACAGAAAAAAATTCAAGACAATGAGTAAAATTGTAACAAAAGAAGTATGTCGATTGTACTATACCAAAGGTACCAGTTACTTTCAACATTGTAGGAATATTTTAAATAAACTCAATTCATTTATGGATCAAAAAGTTCCAAGTTTTCATTATAAACTTAGAAGAACAATTTATTACTCAAAAAACCAATGTACCATCTGCTCTCAACAGGTATTGTAATGTGTCCTCAAAAAGTACATGAAAAGCCTTTCACTTACGAGTGGGTATGGCATTTTGAAATTATAAGAAAAACGAGGAAGTATTTGGTATTCCGAAGTAATGAAACGTGTTCAGTGCACACTGGCTAACACGTTGCAGTTGCAACGAGCGTCCGTGCCCATCGGAGTGCGAAATAAATGTATGAAATCACTACCATCACGATAGGTATACAGTTATGTGATGCTTACCCGTGATAGGATGCACTTATAAAAAAAATCACTTCTTGCACTAATTTCTAAACTAAACTCACTTTAGTTGCAGTTTATACGAACTTAATTAATTGGCGGATAGTTTAACATGTATTTTGATTTGATGAGAAGTTTGAAAAGCATTTATTATAGCAAAAATAAAATATAAACAGCAGCCATTGCAGCTTGCACCGAAACAAAAAGAAAGAATGACGGAAAGAACGACATGAGTGAGCAGGTGAATCAAAATTGACTAAAATGAGCGATCATAGAGTTGGGACATCAATTTTTAAATCTGGCAATGTTGGAAATGTCAATGTCAATTTAATGTCAAACTTTGACCGCATGTGATTTTGTTGATTTCGTGGATTTTACGCAATATTTTCATATGAAAAGAGTTATTTAAGTACTGTATAGTGTTTTCAATAAAGTATATCACTATGGCATGTTCGGAAGTAAACGAAATAATTGATAAGTTTAATACTTTAACACAAAAACCTGTAAAATTCTTGACCGTTCAAGAGGACTTGAAAGAGGATATCAAAAACTTGGTAAAATCGCTTTACGATTACACCAAATTACAGGAAAATGGTGGGAAAAAGGAGAAAAAGAGTGCTTTGTCAGAGTTGATTGTCAAAGACTTCGATGAGGAGCAGATTTGGCAACAAATTGAGCTTCAAAATACTGAATGTTGGGACCAACTTGTATGGGACGTTGCCAACTGTATGTCTTCAAAAGACGCTTTGAAATTCCCTATAGAGACCCCGACTCGTGTAGAAAACGAGGTGGAAAACGCAAGCATGACTTCTGATGACCAGGAACAGTCAGGTGATGAAAATTATAAGGAAATGGAAATAAAAAAGAAAGTCGCTAGAAAACAGAAGGTAAAGGTTAAGTCATCAATAGTCGATGATAAGTTCTTCAAATTACAAGAAATGGAGAAATTTCTGCTTAAAGAAGAGAAAAATGAAGGAAAAGCAGGATCAGATAGTGAAGAAGAATCTATTGATATGTTTGAAGATATGGATAGTGAAGGAAGTGAAGAAGATGAAGATGGTAAAGAGATGATGTATAATGACTTCTTCAATGATGGAGAAGGTGATTTTTATGCAGGAGATGACAATAATGAAAAAGGTGCCATTATTAATGATGAAGACAAAGAAATGGAAAATGAAAGATCAGATTGCGGAAGTGTAGATAACCCAGTGAAAGAACAGCCTAAAAAGCCACAAAAGAAAGTGAAATTTGCAGATTTAAGTTCTGACGTTGATTCTTCAGAAGAATCTGAAGGTGATGATGAAACTTCAAATATGAAATTGAATGGTAACAATATGGAAGAAAAGAAATCAGACTTTGAACTTCGTCAACAGAGACTGCAGCAACAAATATCCAGATTAGAAGAAAAAACATTGAAGGAATCTCCATGGCAGTTGAAAGGTGAAATTGATGCATCAAAACGTCCACAGAACTCCCTATTAGAAGAAGTGGTTGATTTTGATTTAACCAGTCGACCGGCTCCTATAATAACTGAAGAAACAACATTAACTTTGGAAGATATTATTAAACGTAGAATTAAAGATAAGGCTTGGGACGATGTGGTAAAAAAGGATAAGCCTGTTAATGATCAGTTGAATTTCCGTAAAACAGAGGTCTTAGACCATGCCAAAAGTAAGCAAAGCTTAGCTCAAGTGTATGAGGCGGAATACTTAAAACAAAAGGCAGCGTTATCTGGAGAACAGGAAGAGGAAAGAGAATCGGAAACTCATACAGAAATACGTAATGCCATGTCTAAATTATTTGCAAAACTTGATGCATTATGTCATTATCATTATACACCAAAAGCACCGCAAGCCGAGGTTAAAATTGTCAGTAATACACCTGCGATTTCTATGGAAGAAGTTGCACCAGTTGCGACTAGTGATGCAACATTACTTGCTCCTGAAGAGGTAAAGAAGAAACGTAGAGGAGACTTGATGAGTAAACAAGAAAGAACACAGGCAGATAAAAACAGAGAGCGTAGAAAAAAGAAGAAATTGCAACGTAAAAAGGGCCAGGTTATGAAAGTGACTGAAAACAGAAATACCAAAAAGGGAGTAGAAACAACTGATAAATCGTTGAAAACTTCAAAAGCATTCTTTCAACAATTGAATGATAATGCAACTAGTATAATTAAGAATAGCAAAAATAAGCGTAATGTTAAGAATAAAAGCCAATAAATTAATATTGTTATTGTAAATTTAAAAGATGAGGTTTTTATAGAAGTAAAATCTATTTTCGCGACTTGTTTGTTTTTTTTACATAGACAAATACTTTTGTTTTACATGTTTTTGGCTTTATGTAATGAATAGTCAAACCTAGTGACACCACAAAAATAAATTGAGAAAAAGGTGAAGAAGTAGTGTGTCTCGCGGTAAGTAAGTAACACGTCTACCCATTCAGAGCTTTAAATCGCAAAGATCTAAGGGGTATTACGCCAGTCGTGAGCGGCAGTGTCTAGTTTCAATAGCTCACATTACTGCTTGGCGGCAGCCATTCCCTGGAGGAACTCTGTCACACTGCTACTGAAATATTTATTTTAAAATAAATATTACAATTGTAAGTCACATCCATTCATGCATTTTAACGTATTAAATTACATAACAGCAGGTTATATAAAACGTTAAAATGACACTAGGTGGTATGTCATTTATTCCTTAATTAGCATTGACTTTATAAATGGACTCTGCTGTTAGGTTGAGTGTTAGCTACAAGGTGTTCTGTGAATTAGTGCGTTCTTTGGCTAATTTCTTTACTTCATAACCCCTGTTGACTTATTTTATGTGTCTATTTAAGTAGTTTATGAGTGTTGTTAACTGTATTGGTAAGTAAAAGCTTTATAACTTTGTTGTAAATGTCCGATCCTCCCGATCCGGGGGGAGGCGATGCTGAGCCACGTGCTCAGTCATCTCCTCGCCTGTTTTCGCAATCTCAGACTGAGGTAATGGAAGTAGATAAGATCATCCAAAGTAGGAAACGAGCCCCCACTGACGTGCAATCATCTCAACCTCCCAAAAAAACCAATACCTCACAGTCTGTTCCGTCCACCCAATTGACATTCACCAACCCAGAATTCTTAAACAACAAAAACAAATACATGGCACAAGATATCGCCCCATTCATTGTTCATGTGAACAAAACAGTGTCGGATCCCTCTTCCGGCACCGCATTACGCCCCATTAAATTTGGCCATTTTTTGTTTAGGAACAATGTTAAAAATATTGTCAGAGATGGTATCAAACGTGTTGGCAGAAATAGAATATCTCTTGAATTCAAAACTTTCAGTGATGCTAATGCTTTCCTTGACCACCCAGCTCTTTCTCCAGCCAAATATGAAGCGATTATCCCAAGTTACAGCATAACTAGAATGGGCATTGTCCGACAAGTTCCAGTTGAATGGACACTGGAGGAGTTAGTTGAAGCAGTGGAAGTTCCAACTGGTTATGGCGCTATTGTTAAGGCACGAAGACTTAATAGGAAAACCCATGACAGTAATGGGTCACCTGTATGGGTTCCCACCCAAACAGTGGTACTAACTTTCTCAGGTCAAAAACTTCCCTCCCATGTGTACTGTTTTTTCACCTCTCTCCCAGTGGAAATATATGTCCTTCCCACAATTCAGTGCAATAAGTGCTGCCGGTTTGGACACATCCAAACTCAATGCAGATCGGAGGCTCGCTGCTTTATTTGTGCACAAACTCATGAAGGCCTACATTGCACCAAGGAAACTCCAACCTGTTTACACTGCTCTGGACGTCATAAAGCCACTGATCCCTCTTGCCCTGAGCAATCAAGGCAAAAACAAATAAAATTGGTCATGTCCCAAGAAAATATCTCCTACTCTGAAGCATCTGCCAGATTCACCCAAGTGCGAAGATCTTTTGCTGATACAGCGAGGTTTGATTCAAATGAATATCAACCTACACCCACCACTCAATATACTTCTTCCTCCAATCCATCACCCCAACTCAGATCTCCCCAACACACTTCCTACCGCAAAACAGTAGCTATTCCCAGGCACCAACCCCTCCCAGCTTCTAGTACAGGGTATAATCAACAAGTTCATAGAGACATAGTTATGTCTCCTAGTTCTCAACTAGGAAATGGATGTGCACTCCCAAATAACTCCTCAATGCCTAACGATAACTTAATTTCTCTTCTCCTCTCGACCATCATTAACCTCTTAGGGCGTTTTAGTGACGTCCCCCTACCGAACAACCTCAAAGATCAACTGTCTCAGCTCATTCACCTCACCTGCTCCAATGGCTCCCATTCTTCAGTGGAACTGTCGCAGCAGCAGGAATAAAGAAAACGAAATTCAATTCCTACTTAATAAATACT